GCCTAAAGTATAATTAAGAAGTTATAATTTTAGATTATTATTGTTAGGCCTATGTATAGTTAAGAAGTTATAATTTTAGATTATTATTGTTAGGCCTATGTATATGTATGGAAAATGAATATGTAATGTAGCAACAACAAATATATATATATATATAAAATATATATATATATGTAATGTATATATATATATAAAATAAATATATAATGTATATATATGTATATATATATGTATGTATGTATATGTATGCATAAAGCATATATATATATATAATAAATAATATAATAAAGAATATATATATTATATATACATAAAATAAGTAAATATATAATAAAGAAATAAAGAATAGGCCCAAAGACAAAAGAAAAGAAAAAGAACAAATTAAAACCAGAGAAAATTAATGAAAATAAAATGTAAAATTATGAGAAAAGAGAAAAAAAAGAACACTAATAAAGAATAGGCCTAAAGGAAAACAAAACGAAGCAGAGAAAATTAAAACTAATTGAAAATTATGAGAAAAGATAAAAAAAGGAAATATACAGTAAGAAAAGAAAACTTGCCTTAAAGCCCCATTCCCGGCAAAATTTCAGTTTTTAAGAAAAAAATAATTTTTGTATAATGTTATAAAGATTTATAAATATAATACGGAATTGCTAGTTTAACTGAATTTAGAATTAAGAATGAAAAAATGTAAAATAAGACTGAAATTTGATTTTTTGTGTTCCACACAAAAAATAAATGCGGATGAATTTTTCATGTTTGATTTTGCGATAGGTTGTGAGAAGAAATATTGTAGGTGCCGAAAACATTGCCTATCAAACGCTGCTAGGCTAGGCCTAGCCTTACCTTGATTTAGGTTCTGTTATCACACATAAAAACAGCCAACATGATATTTTCCGTTGCTAGTATTGACACTTGTTAAATATAATATTTCATAGGAATTATTTCAAATTTTTTTAAAAACTGATTCTGACTGAGATTTTGACACTTAAACAAACATATCTCAGCCTAACCGAACGACCGCATTGTGCAAGATACGAAGTACAAAAACTAATTTCATTAGAGAGGGCGCACTTTATTAACTGTATAAAGTATACATAAAAGCAAGAGTATTCCAATGGATGCAATCTACAACCTCTGAATTTGCCTAGTAACGATGAATTCGTCGAGAAAATGGTAATATTTTATGAGAAATAGTCTGTATTTCTCATTTTTTTAATTCTTTTGCGTAAAACTACAATTCATGCCAATATTTTTCCATGTATTATAATAATTGGAGTAATGCAGACCGCACAAGATCGTACAGATACAAATATATTTTGGGTACGGGTTGGCCAAAATGTCAAATGATGTGGGTACGAATTAATCAAACGTGGGTACGGATTGACCTAAATTTGGGTACGGTTTGACTAAAGTGGATAGGGTTGGTATAGGTACGGGTTTGTTTGGGTACGGATTGACCGACACCCCCAATTAAATTAGGTTAGGGCTCGAAATTCATGCTAGCAAACCAGGGACGTAGCCAGGATTTTGAAAGGGGGGGGAGCCGTTATGCGAATTACATAGGACCCCGGCGGGGTCAAGGGGATGAATCCCCCTGTGAAGTACAGTAGCGCACTCTGAACGTTCTTAGGACTGTTTGAGAGGATAAAGTGAAAATTGCAATAGACGCATTATAAATAAGCAAAAAAATAATTATATAATAAATCAACAGTGGCAGATCCAGGAATTCGAATGAGAGGTGAACCAGGGAGGGACTTTCACAGACCGAGGAACCACCCACCTCAGCCCCACCATGGTTGGGGCTGAGGTAAGAAAATTTATGATTAGGGCATCTCTAGATGGCCGGAAATACACTCTCGCACTTCAATTTGAATATATTTTCCTTAAAAAAATGAAGGGGGGGGGGGG